TTTTGATTCGGGTAGCTGGACTCCCAGGCGTTAGTACACGTGGGCTGAATCCCATTCTTATTGTTTCTGAACGTTCTCTCGTGATCAATGTGCTGCCCAGGCTTCTATTGATTCATCATATGCTAGATACTCCTGCGAGCGGCCCCTTCTCCATCGAGATCAGGAGGCAAAATCGCGCCCGCCATCACGCTTGACCCGACATCGAGAGCATCAGAACTGATCACATTTCCATAGATACCTTGTCTCCTACCTCGGCTTCACTCACGGAAAGCATGCCCTCCTGCGAGCCGTATACCGTGAACGTGGACGAAGGACCCCTAAACCGCTGCTTCGTACATGAGGAGCTACTTTCCGACGCCTTTCTAGTGTCCTTTTAGTTTCTAGGCTCTCCTGCGTACCGTTGGTTTGGTTGCGACTGTGCTGTGAATGATCCCGTCCTGGCTTTTGTCAGATGAGGCATCGCTAGCCTACAACTCGCCACGTACTGAATGTACCCTTGTAGCAAAGTTACTTCCGCAGCCAGGTTGCGTGCTACGTTCGCAATGCTGTGATCATAAGTATAGGGTCTTTCGAGGAAGCTGGCACTGCATACTAATCCAAGCGTGTCGTAACTTGTTCAAGGCTTCGCTCGGGACAGACGGGTGTGGGGGCTTGTCTGCTTTTCGTTAGGGGCATGATCTGCACGGGGCACGAAGACTCACAACCGACTGTTGACCATATGCTGGCCGAGATTCGCGCTCGAGGCATGGGTAGCGTGGACTGGGGTGAAATCTTGCTGTTGCTGTGCAGCGTGTCCGCGTGTCGGCGAATGCGCTTGTGGAAAGAGGCCACGTCCCCAGGGCTGATAGCCAGGGTTCGCGCCTGGTACCGAACTATGGAGACCAGTCCCACTACCACCAGGCTCAGGCGCCATGGAGCCCGCCGCCGTGTAAGGCATGTTCATTGCGACGCAGGATGAGCGATGAGGATATACTAGAAGGGGAGAGAGGATACTGTGAGCGTGCTGGTCCATCCTACGCCGGGAGCTGCGATTTATACACCTTGCTGCGTCCCGGTGCTTTGGTTCGGTCAATGTGCGTGCGACCAACAGCCAACAGCATCGACCTGATGGAGTATGGCTGCTCCTCTGGACGGGGACACGCTGCTCGCATCGATATCGCGCACGCAACCTGAGATCTGCTGCCCTTTTTGAAGACGCCTGAGATTCAGGCTCAGACCGAGCCATGCATATTCGCACAAAATCATCTACCGAATGAGCGATAGAGACCCTGAGTGTGAAGGCCATTCGCTTCGGTGCTCAACGGCTGTCAATGTTGGTCCTGCGTCTTGCACTGAGAATTATGGGTCTGCGGCGTGCATCTGCACTCAGAGATCACGATTCGGAGAAAAGCATCGCAGGAACATACGCATTGTCGATCAGTGGCTTGATTACATTAATGCAGCACAGAAACAGAAGACCCGGAGCTCCCATAACTTGTAGTTGGCAAGTCGAACGGGGCAAGATACAGGAGTGGAATTTTTCTTTCCATCTCCGCGTTCTCCTGGAGGAATTCTGTTGAGCCACGAGTGCGTAGCGCAGGACAGTACCCCACCTGAGTCCAGCTCCATCGTTTGTGCCTCGCAAACCACTTTACGAATTGCGCCGCTCGTCGCTAGGCTCGGTACGACCCTGCGTTCTGCCGCGCGGACATGGAAAGAAGAGCACATGATAATTGTCACCTGCAGGACTATGCTCGTCCTCCCACTGCCGGACAACCATCAGCCGTCACAGCCCGGACTGCGCGACCTGTCCTCATCGTCTTTGTGGACGCTGGATCCTGGGCCAGCAGCTGATGCCTTGAGTCGACTTTTTTCGCACCGCTTTGGATGATGTGGTACGGAGTATGTTGGTTGGCGACATGCTAGCGGCCCACTCTTCTGACGTCCCGACCGGTGATGTCTCGAGACATGTCCAAGGTCGGCGAGAGCACTCGGAGCAAAGGTTTCGTGATTCCGGAAGGTGCGTGGGTCGCCATTCTTGTCTGGTGCTCTCTGGCGACGTAGGGTGCTGTCCACCTTTGTGTATTGTTCAGAGTCCCACGATTCGCGACTGGTGGCTCAAGCTCCTACGAAGCCATGATAGCCTGAGAATGCCCAGCGCTTGTCCGACAGATAGTTGGGCGAGGCTAGTCCGGAATATGACGCGATTTCCTGTTGCGGGCATGGACAAAAGGCAGCTTCCGGACGTCGGTCACGATAAAGGTCGTTCGACCTCTGCGCAGTCTGTCGCGCCGCATCGATCTTATCAGTATGTCGGCTGATGATATCGCTACGCTTCGACGACTCACCATCGGTCCCATGTCGAGCGACTCCATTGCCCTGATCAGGACGGCTTGGCAGGCCACCAAGATACGATATCCAGTGGATGATGGCCAACCTCTCGTAGCGGCCGAGGCATGGGTCCGGTATGCCTCTACAGTGGCCGGGGATGGCAGCGACGCAATGCCGACATCCATGCGCCAGCTCGCAAGCGGGGCGAACGTAGACGAGGAGATCGTGCAGGCGTATCTTGAGCTTCTCCGTGCACAATCAACTAGACACGCGGATATTGCCTCTACTCGATCTCTCAACGAGGGGCCGGTAGACATCCGCAATGAGGGCCTGGAACGACCTGTCATCATTCCATGCCAAGACGGCACCGCTTGGGCATTTGCTGTTGCATATCCTGATTGTGTGCATTGGTACGACAGCCGACCGAACGCTAGCATCCCCAATCTAGCCACGACGCCACGGCCAATCGTGACCAACTGGACAGGGCCGAAGGTGTCGCAGGATCGCGTTGATGATGCAGGCGTTCTCGCCCTCATCGGCATCCGACAGATTCACCAAGGGGCTCCTCACATGAGTCAGGAATGCGCCAATGAGCTCGTCTCCTCCTTCCGGGCGCGCTTAGTAGCGGAGCTTACATGCGGTGAGCTGGAGCCTAGTGCGGAGGCGCTCGCGGCCATGGCGCCCGCAGAGGCCGAAGCAGGAAGTCAATTCTTCGCGGACGCGCTATACGGAACTGAACCATACCATAAGAGCTCAAGCTCGTCCCGAAATACATCCCCGGACGTCGTCCATCCGGCGTCGCCGCACCCGGTAAGCGCCCGTGAGGGACCAAACTTGCGCCAGAGGGTGGCCCCGCCCATCCACACAGAGTCGTCGTCACCAGTGCGGCCATTGTCCGGTGGCACACGCGTCCAGCCCGGGCGAGACGACCGTCGCACCATCCTTGGACATCTCTGCGAGGCCGTGCTGTCATATCGTGCCATACAAGGTTCCGATCAGCTTAGCCTTGCCGTGCTCTGGCAGTCGGTCAAGCGAGGCGCGACCGGCAGTACTTTCCACAAAAGGCTAAATTGCGTGCGCTTCTGCGAACGGATGGATGCGCTGGATGATGCCCAGGCGGTGGGTAGCGCTATGCACTACCCTGTAGACAGACAAAGCCTCCTTGAGATAAGAGACATGCAGACGCAATGTCAATTCTGGCGAGATGTATGTGATCTTCGTCTAGCGTGGGGCCCCGACAAGTACGTTTTGCTTCTCGCCATCCCCCGGATCCCGTCGATCCGGCGGTTGACCGCATCAAGGAAACAGCAAATTCTGACCAGCCTGCGCGCTCGCCTTGACGATTCGGCCGATTCCTTGCAGCACTGGCTCCAACAAAGCCAGCGCCTGTGCCGGGCCGTTGTCACGGGTGCACTGCCCGCGGACAATCTAATGATTGATATTTACGGTCT